ATTATTAAATATCTATTAAATAATAAGAGATACGTTTAAGATAATATTTTATCCATATTTTGTAGTATATACAGTATTTTTCAGAGTTCACCAAGGCTGTTTTATCACCGTTGCTCTGCACAACTTGATGACACCTGGTCTATGTAATCAAATGATCGTTGAAACCTTACCTGAATAAATCTATGCTTTTTTGTCCATGTGAGATTATCTCAGTGATACACATAAATATTACTCCAAACTGAACTCATGCAACTATTTGTTCAAGCATGAATTAATTTTGTTATTTCACAACCACATGTATTAACTTGAACAACTCCAGCTGCAGCAGTTCTTAGCACAGCTTAAAGCTCCACGTTTGCTCCCTCTGTATGTGGAAGTCCTGCAGCCCTGAGGGACTCCTCCAGAGCAGCAGCACCTGACTCTTTGCTCTCCTCCTCATCAATGCATCATATTCTGTGTTGTGATTTAACAGGAAGTGTTTTACAAGGTGTGTTGTGTTGCCACAGCTCTTCACAGATTTTCCACAAACCTTCAGTTTGTGGAGATGAACTAGCTCCACACATGACTCTGGTCAGCTCCGCCGCTGCGTCTACAGACTGACACTGACGAGCAGTGTGCTGCTCCGCTTAAACGCATTACGCACTTACTCAGGTGGAAGAAAAAGTAGTTCCCTCCAACCGCGTGTCATTTAGACAAGATCTCAACAGTTTAGTTACTTTCCATCATCTTCCTATGCATTACCTGAAATGAGTGAAGTATCAAAAGTATCGCTAGTTTGATCTAAGAATCGATTCTGGAGCCAAGCGTTATGCCTCACATAGTATCGATGTTTGTATCGATCCGCACAGCAAGACTCCGCCTACTTTCTTCTTCTTTGTTTTTATCCGTCCGCAGCTGGAATTTGAGTCACTTAAACATATTTATGTGTCATTAATTCGGTCAAGAATAGATTATGGGAGTGTGGTGTATGGATCAGCGGCTAAAACTCGACTAAATAAATTAGATGTCATCCCAGCTAGAGCACTGAGAATTTGTTTAGGGGCAGTAAAATCAACTCCAGTATGTGCTCTACAAGTAGAATCAGGAGAAATGTCATTATGCATTAGAAGAAAATGGTTAATGGTTAATTATTGGATAAATTTGAAAGGACATAATGAAACTCATCCAGTTAAGAAAGTGTTAGAAAATTGTTGGGAAAGAGGAAAGGAGCTTAAAAATAGTTTTGGGTGGATAGGGGATAATTTAGCAAGAACATTTAAAGTATATAACAAAGAATTTAATTCAACAGTATTATGGCCCTTAAGGCGTACATGGGCATGGAAATATATTAATGTAGATAGATCATTATTAAATATTAAGAAAACGAAAACTACAGATATTTGTCAAGAATTTTATGATCGAGTAGAGAAGAAATATAATGATTACCTGCAAATCTATACAGATGGTTCAAAAGATCCAAAAACTGAAGCAACTAGTGTAGCAGTAGTGATTCCTGAATTAAAGATTAAGCTTTCAAAAAGAACATCTAATTTTCTGAGTATATAGGCAGTAGAATTATGTGCTAAATTATTGGCTTTAGAATGGGTGGAGGATAGTAGAACAAGTAAAATTATAGTTTGCAGTGATTCATTATCAGCAATATTAAGCATTGAAAAGGGAACTTCAAGTAATCACCAACACATCTTGTATGAGATTCTGTTTGTTCATCATAGACTTTGTGAACAAAACAAAACTATAGTAATTATGTGGACTCCTGCTCATTTAGGTATTTTAGGTAATGAAAAAGCAGATAGGTTGGCTAAAGAAGCTGTTAAAAAAGAAGATATTGATATGTCAATAAAATTATCTAAGTCTGAAGGAAAAAGTATAGTTTGGAAAGAAAGCAAGAAATTATGGGAAATGAGCTGGAATAATGAGACAAAAGGGAGACATTTATACAG